TAATGGAGACTCTTCACTCATTACAATCCTGAGTTTCATAGCTTTGCATGTGCAGACATGCTTCGTTATAGTAGTTTTCTCATCCTGTATTTTCTTTCTCTATATTCTACTTAGTAAAGGCAAAGCAGACACAGCAAAACATTTAGAAACTGGATTGTAAAGGAAGTGTACTTGGTTGTCTAACCATCTGTAGCTTGAGAAGTTCTTCATTTCTATATCTTTGCAGTAGGCTTAAATATTCTAAAGACAACTGCTGTCAGTTATTCTAAAGAGAGAACTCTAATTACCTCTGAAGAGACTGTTCATGTAAGTGTTAGGCGTGTATCATTTATTTGGATCATGCGGCATTTCCCTGAAGTTTCCCTAAGCATAAAAGTCATTGTTCAATAGACCCAAAATTACTACATCAGACAGCAACAGCATATACCAGGACTGAGGAAAATGCTGTCATCAAGACAGAAAAATTTAGTCCAGAACAAGATAACGTATGTAATAAAGGACATCCCATTCTAACAGCAGCTCACATCTGCCTGCAAAGCAGCCTTCACATAAAATGTGAAACGGACACTACCTGAGACAGCAATGACCACAGAGCAATAATCACTGCAATGTTTTTAAAAGATGAATGAAATAGTTAAAGGAAGAGCAGTGGAGAAAAGAAGCAGCAATAAAATCTTCCTCCAAATAGGCTACTGACAGCTTTGGGAAAGGTGATGGTTAGCGAAAAAAGCGACCAGGTTAACAAGGTATTACTTGAGCGTCTGACCGCAGGCACAGCTAAGAACAGAGCTCAAAAGGGCGCGAGGAGCACAGACAGAAACCTGCAGAACATAGGCATTTTGTCAACAGACTGATTCTGACCCCACCGGCATACTTATTTTGAGATGCTCAGGTTGTTCTTTTAACTGTGGTAGGTTTCCTTGATTACTGCTACTTATTTTTTAACATCTGAAAAAGTGGGCTGTTCAGCTAAACATCTACGTACAGTCTCCAGCCAAACAAATGTACAACTGTGATTTGACATGCAAAAGAAGGTATAAATGCATTAAAAAGAAAGACACTCCTACCCCGCTGATTTCCTGCATTGTTAAGACATGAATACATCTCTATTGGTGGCTATTTTGTTGTTATATTTGAAGCAGGACCTCTCATATATCCCAAAGGCAAGACAGCCAAAATTAACCTTGAATGAGATAATACATATGAAGAAGAATAGAATAGAATAGAATAGAATAGAATAGGAGTAGAATAGAATATTTCAGTTGGAAGGAACCTACAACAATCATCTCGTCCAACTGCCTGACCACTTCAGGACTGACCAAAAGTTAAAGCATGTTATTAAGGGCATTGTCCAAATGCCTCTTAAACACTGACAGCCTTGGGGCATCGACCACCTCTCGAGGAAGTCTGTTCCAGTGTTTGACCACCCTCTTGGTAAGGAAATGTTTCCTAGTGTCAAGTCTTTCCTGACGCAGCTTTGAACCATTCCGTCGTATCCTATCACTGGATCCCAGGGAGAAGAGATCAACTCCTCCCTCTCCACTTCCCCTCCTCAGGAAGCTGCAGAGAGCAGAGGTCTGTCAGTCAGTGTCCATGAGAGAAGAGCTATCTTCCAAGGATTATGGAGATGTTTATGACTGTCAAAAACGTAAGTGTACATTGATATAGCATAAATGGTAGATGAAAAGTTTTCTCAGTACCTGGATGAAAGCAACAAAGGTATAATTTATCTGGAACAACTGGGAAAGGAAAATCCTAGGTAATGGGGGAAAAAATTGAAAACAGATAATACTAAAGCTTTTGGAACAAACTGATGTCTAATGTGTGAACCCAGGTGACTTTGTAGTCCTGTCAGAACTCATAAACCTGTGGAGCCAGCTAGGTTCCATCTTGCTGTCATCTTCATTGCTGTCAGCAGTGCTGTAGCTACAAGGCACTGCACCAAAATACGCACGCTCAGAAATGAGACTGCTGGGAGAGCAGTACAGCAGCTCTGCATGAAATCCGCTCTGGTGAGGCAGGGCTGGTTCAATTAAGTTGTCCTCCATTGTAACACAAGTACTGAGATGAGCTGATCAGAGGAGAGTATCCATGCTCAAGACCTGAACCAGCAACTTTTTCTAGACATGAATAAGCCAATACTGAGAAAAAATCTGAACTGCCTGCAACCAAGCTAGAAAATCCATCCAAGGATAATAAATAGATGCTAACGAACACTACTGGAGGCCCCAGCTTACATTTGGTACAGTCCTTAACTTGAAGAAATCACAATCTAAATGAAAGAGACAAGTATCAGGTGGGTGGATAAGGACTGTTACTAACCCTGTTTCATAAATGGAAAAGTACCAAGAGACTCAAAGCTTGGTTATAATTTACACCATATTCTACCTTTGTAATAGAGAACAAGTAGATGAGAATCAAGCTACGAAGGGGCCTAAAAAGTCTCACAAGAAGCCAGGGAAATAAACTCAAGTTCATTGTCTTAACCATAAACCCCTCCTTCATATGTGGAGGAAAAACACAGGTGATGCCAGTAAAGAAAATAAAAGAGCACTCTCATAAGCATCATTTTTCCTTTATAAGCTGAACCTTACCCCACACGAGTCTTATATTACCAGAAGACAAGTCTCCCAGCTTGCCCAGAAATTCTGTCCCACTGAACAACTTATCCAGCACTGCCAGGTTTGAGCTCACAAGCAGAGAAGAAAGAATTTTTCTTCTTATCCCTGCAGTATCTATCCCCCCAAAAAGCAGTGAAAACGTAGCTTCGAGTGCCATCTAGAGGAGCTCACTCCTCTATAGAAAGTAGTTTTGTTGGTTAAAGATGTAGCTTCTCAAAAAGATTTTCAGACTGTCCCACCATTCACATGTGTCCATTGCACTGGGAAAAATCTGTCCGATGTCGTTCTTGCATATAAGTATTAATACAGTGCATGGTCAGATGTATTTGCTGGTACAGGATTATAAACCCGTGAAATGGAGCTAGTGAAAACCAGCTGGGGAGGTTCTACTTTGCCAGAAATTTTAATCAGTGAATGGAAATGTCAAAATATTAAGCAGCCTCTAGAAAAGAAATAAGGGAGGAGAGCACTAAAAGCACCTGCATCTTCCTCAATATGTTTGCACATATGTGAATACTCACAAAATTTCAGTGTTATTTATAAATGTAACTATATGTCTTAAAAGTCTGCCTTAATAACAACAAGCATTGATTTGTAATTATGGATAAAACAATCCAAGGAATCTTGGAATTGTCTGGAAGAGACAGCTAAGGAGCAGCCTGGAAACCAAAAAATGGAAAATTGGTTGGGATCGTCTCCAAAAGACCTCATGGGGAAGGGGCCTTATTTGTACGGGGATTTGTGTGTATTCACAAAGATATAAATCAGTGCACACACAGACAATCACAGTGGGTCCCTTCATCATTCTCAGCCTAGGGCAGGGGTTCAAAAGCACCAAAACGCTTCCTCTGGAGGATGGGGAGGTTGCACCGTGATGGGGAAGCCCGTAATCCCTCTACCCAGTGCTGTGTCTGTGGCAAGAGAGATGGCCTCAGAGCTAAAATGCAACCAAATGGGGCGCTGCCAGGACGGGAGTGAAGCCGCGAGCTGCCGCACGCCTTTCGGGGCTGGAGAGGTCCCCTGTGGTTTCACAGCTCTCAGAGGTGGAGCGCCAGGACAGGGGGGTTGTTTGACCGTTACAGAACGTCCCCGTGCCCTGGGCTTTTGCCTTGGGCTCTCTCGCCTCTGCCATACATCAGTGCCAAAGCAAAAAATTCACTTTGTGACTCCATTTCCAGTGTCAGGCAAAGGTGCCTGACACCAGTGAGGGTCACGGAGCCCCAGCCCAGTGTCACTCACACCCCTCCACGGCTGGAGCACGCGCCCTGCTTTCCTTTCCTGTCACTTCTGACAGTCATCCAGGGCAGAGCTGCCGCACAGTGGCCGATAAGGACATAAGGTACCAGATGGCTCAGGTTTATGGTCCCTGTGTGACTGCAGATGAAAAGGCAGCCCAGACACCAAGTGCTGGTCAGGGCCAGCGCCAGGACAGCCCTAAAGGAGCAAGGAGGCTCTCCAAGCACTTCCCACAGCGCAGGTGGGATGCCTTTGCCACACCAGCACTCACGCAGCAGCTTCGCCCCGCTCCCCCCATCCTATTTGCTGCATGAGGCCAACGTAGAGACATTCAAACACCCCCAGACACTCAGGAGTCCAGGGCAGCTGAGCTGGAAGCTGGCCCCAAGATTTAAATCCCAGGCATTTAACTCTGGCGACTAGCCTCAACACATAAATACAGGTATTTCCCTGTACCTCTAATTCCTAAATGCTTTTAAAAATCTGCCCTCACTATTGTAGGTGATTGCTTACATGGCTCAAATTGTAAAATGGCCAGGAGTTTATTAAAAATATGCTTAAACACATGTAAGCAAACACGGTTAATGGAACATTAAGGTCGAAATATATAGCTGCCTAAGATAAAATAGCACAGCAATGATGATCTGCATCTCTGATGTATTAAGATCTGGTTGTATCTTCCATGTTTGCTTTAATATTGGAACAGGCTGCCCAGGGAAGTAGTTGAGTCCCCATCCCTGGAGGTATTTAAAAGACGTGTAGATGAGGCGCTTAGGGACACATTTTAGTGGACATGGTGGTGTTGGGTCGATGGTTGGACTCGATGATCTTAGAGGTCTTTTCCAACCTCAATGATTCTATGATTCTATGATTCTATGAATATCAGACAGTTTGTCATATAACACTGTATGCATTTCATTAACTATGGGATGAAGTAATCACACAAAAAAGGAAATGTCACACACTGACTAATGGTTTTGCAGGTAGAGTCAACTATGAGAAGTTCTTGCATTATCAGACAGTGTGGACACCACGAGGAAGCGATTTCTCTGACAAAGACATAAAGAAGAAAGCTCCTTATTTTGCATGGGGAATAGGATGCAAATATATTTTTGTTTCTACTTAAAATTTATATTTCAATTCACTTCAGAGTCTGCCCCTCCAGTTACAGTCTTTCTGTCCCTGCACATCTTCCAGATTCACTGCGTATTTGGAATTCCAGTCTCGCTCAAAAAGTTTTTTTAATCGTTCCTGGATAGGCAGTTGTCTTCTTTGCAGGTTGGTCGAATTCTGTTTGATAATTAGTCCCACGCCAGCTGTATTAATGAAGTAATCTTCTGACCAATTGGAAGTCCCTATGCAATGGAAAAGTAGCTAATTAGAAAACATTCATTTCCCAGTGTTCTGTTTGGTCTCCATAATTGTTAAGTCCACATTGCCTGGCTTTGCTGATTTGCTGTACAACTGCAAATCTCATTAGGACCAGCAAAAATCAGGTCACCTCCTTCTTACTCCAGACCTCAGGTTTCGGAAAGTCAGTATTAACTGCAACCCTGAAGCTTCATAACACTGATTCCTTACAGCCTGTGGCAGAGATGCACATCTACTCATTATAAATATGGGAATAGAGTGCAACATTTGGGTATTAAGAGGGGTAAAAGCCAGTGTTTGATATGAGTTTCTGTCTTTAAAGAAAAAAAATCCTCAATGGACTTAGTTCTCTTTACTTGTTAAAGGAAAACAAGAGGAGAAACTGGACCCTTGATCAATAAATCCTCAGGAGCTGTTCCGAGCTCAGCGTGCAATGCCTGCTTTTAAACCAGGCAGATGTGGGAATCCAGCTGTAGACATTGTCTAGGGCTCTCTCCAAAGCTACCACCATTCAGAAAATCAAACACTGGGAAAAAATACACATTTTATCACTTAGTACTTCTGGTGTTCACCTTAGCCAGAAAAATCTACTGTCAATTCCAGAAGGTGCTTAGGCATGAAAACAAATTATCTGCATATCTGCCTTCAAAAGACAACTCAGTAAGAAACAAGTTCTATTAAATGCAATTGGAGCTGCAAGTCCTCAGCCTGTTGGAAGATCGGGCTATTTGCTGGTTTTTCCAGCAAATTCCCTTTTTTGAGGGATCCTAATAAAAGAGCGAAAAATAAACACCATCCTGTCTTTCAGGAATTGAGCAGCAATTGACACTGCTGTTTTCTCATCTCCGTTCCTAGAATTCTGTTCAGCAAACAGTGCATGGAATTAATTCCTCCCAGCAATTTCTTTTTATTAAAGCGCGATAACGTTACATACTAGAGCATCAGCTATCACTGCATCATTCTGAGCACACAGTCTGTGAAATTCCTACTGTGCTTGTCACAGGCTGTGCACTGAGACTTGTCATGCTCTGTTCTTAATGCTTCACAATCATATGAAATAATCTCTTACTGAACTTGACCTACATTATTTTCTCCCCTTCACATCTCTATTTCTTTACCCAGGGCAGACATTCTGATAAAGCCATATACTTTGATACGTTTATCTGCTTTACATGGCAAAATGAGGTCTTTTTTGATATTGCAGCCCATCCTATCTCAGTCTCAGTCCTATAGATCTGAAGATACTGTAAGTGTTTGGAATAATGGAATACATACCAATATAGGCTACTTTATCAGTGACCATATATTTGTTGTGATTCACTCTCCCATGAGGAATATTTGTGTGATTCAGAACTGGAACAATGAAGAGTTTCTGGATGGAGAGAAATTAAAAACATAAATAGAAATACCAGAGTGAGGAATAGATTGAATAATTGGACAATGCAGATTTTCTATATTTTCAAAGAATAGAATAGTACAGAAAGAAGAGAGTATTCCACACACTGTTATTAAATGTACCATAAAAGAGATTTTAGTCTTATCCAAGAAAACTAACAAATAGTACTTCCAGTATAAATAAAATTGGATAAGCAATTGAGATCAGATAAGGATAATGTTTGCTTCACAATGTTCCATTAGTGGCACAGCTATTATCATTACAGGGCAGATAATTAAATGCAGTTTTAGGCAGCTGTTTAATAGATCTGCATTTACCACTGATTGCTGCTCTTATTTTGTGCTAGAATGGGCTGATCACAGACACAGGGGTACTGCAGGCAGCAAGAATGCCTAACTTTTTGTGTTAACTCTTACTAAAATCTACATTTTTGTTCCTTTTCTTTTTTTTTTGGCAACCATCCCTCCTTACTTCTGTGACTTCTCTCTGTCATGGTAACTGCATTATGCTGGGAGCTTCCACACCATCCCCACCCCACTTGATGCATTCCAGGCTAGTGCCGATGGCCTGTGTGTAATATTTACTGCTCAAAAATGGGTCCATTTGTACAGGCAGTCAGCAGAGCTCTTAATTGTGAAAAACTGATAGTAATTAGACCCATTTAAGATACTCCATACAGGAAAAGGTCTATGAGAAGAGCACTAAGTTGTCATATAAACTGTAAGTGTCATGGTGCTCAGCAAAAGCGACTGCCTGGATAACGTTGCGAGTGCTACAGCTAGGCACATCCCTTGGTATCCCTAGTAGCTTGCAATAGCTGCTTCCTCAAAGGTTATCTCTTGGGCCTTATTTTCCCAAGGACCCAAAAGAGTCGCTGCAACAGTGGACAATCTGCTTCTCTAAAACCTGATACTTGCAGATGCAACTGGCAGCTTAGACTCAAAAATCAGTGGGGGGTCCATATCCTCAAGCTGTCTTTCCAAACTCAGGTTTCTTATCGTACCACGTCAACACTGATGTGGGCACGTGGGTTGTTGAGAGCACGCAGGGACCTCAGATAGTAAAGCATGGCTGGGTCAGAGTGGGTCCAGCAGCTGACCAGAAGCCGGATTTGTACTCTGTAGTTGAAAGCTGCACGTCTCAGAGCATTGTCAATGGCTGGCCAGTATCTAGAGAAAAGTAGAAGGGTGGAAAAAGGGATATTTTTGAAGTAGAAAGCTGTGACAATAAACTGAGAATACAAGTGACACCGTGCACAGATGAGATCTCTGATGTCTAGTAAGAGAAGCACTTGTGCCTTCACTGGAGGTATAAATAAGATTTCTGCCTTCTACCCAGCCAGTTCTTTTCCCAGTGTGTTTTGAGACCTCCAGTCTCTGCCAAATTGGGTTGAAATTGATCAAAAAGTTTAAAGCTTAGTGAAGTGCACGTACACAGATACACACACAGCGTGGTGCTCATTTCCTTAGGAAACTAAAAATAACAGTAGCAACTCCAACATAAAGCCGGATCATACAGCATGAAGTAAAAAGGACAGTGCAGAGCCCAGGGGAAAGCCTAAGAGCCATTTTGCAGAATATGGCCGTGTCAGGACCCTGGAGACTGTTTCTAGTGTCTGCAGTGGTCCTGTGCCATCAGCCAGCATGGACAGGCTCTATCCCTCCCCATCCCTCCTTGCCCTCTTTAGTATGCCGTGTGCCCCCGAGGTAACAAACACAGCTGCGCTCTCGTGACACGGGGCTGCCCGTTTTCCTGACATTTGTGTTAGCAATAGCTTAGGGCACAATTTTTAACATCCTTCACCCAACTACACAACACTAAGCGCTGGACAATGTACATCCCAGGACTATTAACTCCAAACACCAATGTAGCATTTTCATTCCGAACAAGTGCTGCGTGGAGGAAGACAAGCATCTTTAGTACAGATTGGAGGACTGATACAGAGAGAGGTCCAGCACTCATTCACAGTCCCATGAGCAATGATGAATTAATTTGCCTAACTTATTCCTTTTGGTCTTATGTACAAAGGCCTGAATTCTCAAATCCTCCCCTGCACATCGTCCTATCGTGATCAACAGACCGGCCATGTGTTTTCAGGCTCAGGCTGACTCATAGATCCTGAAAAACTCAGAAAAACATGCTATTTAGAAATGCTATTTTTGATCAGTTTCCATTTTTTAAATATATTGGTTTCCAGTTGATTAACACTCAGGCATTAAGACAGCAGCTTTGTTCCCTCTGCCTCAGCTGCTGGAGGAACCTAACCTGAACTAATCAGCCTCAATTCATTACACTACAGCTGGTTGCTGTGGAGATAGCCCGAGGCCCCGCGCTGCTTTCCCTAGGCCTTTCAAACTCTTGTTTTCATCAGATCAGGCCCTAGATGTCACAAATGGTGGATTAAGGCTTCAGATGAAGAATGAGGAGTATTAACACACTCATTCCTAAGGGGGAAAAGAGACTTTCTGTGAACCTATTCTTAGCTAAAAGCAGGAGATGAGAAACCCAGAGATTCAACCGTACAACACAGAAACTGAAAATCCGCTAAGCTGTTTGATTTATAAAAAATATCCTCCAAGTGGAAGCTAGTCTTTGAGATTTTGTTTCAAGGACAGTAGAATTATCTGTGTCTATCTATTATCCTACACCCTTCCTGCTAACACACACACACACAGAGCTGAACAACAGAGGCTTTACAGAGTCATGCCAGAGGACATGATGCATGGTATAATTGTGGCTAAATGGCAACCTAGAGCTCACCCTATTCCTTACAAGCCACATTGTACACAATTATTTTGCTTGAACTTCTTTCTCAGTCAGATTATTTAGATGATTGGAAAACTCAGAAAAGTTATAAGCAGATAATATTCAGAGCAGTTGGTTGCATGTAAACATCCTAATTCAAGCACATCTAAGAGGATTTGGAGTCTTAGTGGTTGCCCCATGACTGACTAACTTTCTGTGTTACTCAGATTTGAGTTGATGTGCAGAGTCTGCGTAATTCTGCTGTGACCTTGGGCAGCCCACTGGGACCGTGGCAGTGGTCCACCACACACAATTTGATCACTCCAGATCACCACTACCACCTTCTCTTTGAGAGCTGCTGCTGCATGCACCCAGCACGCTTCAGGAATTTGGCTGTCCTTAGATGGAATTATAAAAAAAGGCAAATAAAAGCCCAGAAGTTTCTTTTAGAGACTGTTTCAGCTACCATTGCAGAGGTCAGCAAGGACAGTTAAGGATCAGTCTCTAAACTATGGGTCAAGTAGGTCAAACAGGCAGCAGAGCCAGAAGTCAAGAGTCTTCAGAAGTAAAGAGCAGAAAGAAACAGGAGCAGAAGAGGGGAGCAAAGCAGTATTTTCTCTGAAAAGTCTGATGTCAGATATATTTCTGCTGTTCCCATTCCTCTCTCTGTTCATAAAGCTGCTCTGTCGTATTTTGAAAGGAGCTGTACCTGACTGTCCTTAGTCTGGCACTTCACATTTTTCTTGCTGTGTGAAGGGCACAGGAGGCTACTCTAAAATGCCAGCGAAGCACATGGGCAGTATTGGATACCATCCTTCCTGTAGCATCAGTACTTGCACAGTCCACAAGGCAGTCGTGAATGCAGAGCAAAGCCTCAGTTCTCTCCACTCTGACTATTTTCATTGCAGAAGGGGAGGAATAGTACATTTTTCCTTCAAATAGAGCAGTCAACTGATTCGGTCAGGATTAAAATTGTACCTTTCTGGATGAACAAAACGGCTGGTAGGGAAATATTCCATAACAGAAACATAGACAAATTTCTGTGCCTCACTGATAATACTGATTATAGCAAAGAGGTCGTGGGTGCGACCTTCTGGACAAAATGCTGGAGGAGAAGCCTGTAAAGAATAAAACATGCAGGTCAGTGATTTAATCCTGTTTCTGTCAGACTGTGATTCATTTATATTCAGATCTGTTCAGTTTTCATTACAATAGCGCAAAGCACTTGAGGTGGACCACTATCGTTCCTCATGCCTTCCATGTCCTGATGGGTCAGATACTTATTGATATATTGAGTTCACAGGTGATTAAAGGAGACCTGCACCCCATCCTTGCCATACTACCTGACAGCCGAAGCTGGGTCAACCCTTACTCCTTCAGTAGTTCCAGAGAAACTTGATGAATGAATTATTATCCAACTGGACCACAAGTTACTGAGGACTGCTGAAGACACTTTTCTGGCCAATGCTTAAACATAGTTTACAGTCTATCCTGTTATTTTAAAACATACTTACAGAAAAATAGGCTTTTGTCAAGATTCCATTGAATTCTACTTCCAGAGGCTGACGTTTGTTAATGTGGGTAGAATAATTAAGAGGCCAAGGGAATGGGATGGTAGCATTAGCATGTCCAAGATCCCAGTAAGTACTAAATGTTTTCTGGAGGTCTTTGGCCAAGCAGCTGCAGTTGTATATCACAGCACCAAACTCTTTCACCTGCAAAGAGAGTGTCCTGGTTTTGGCTGGGATAGAGTTAATTTTCTTCCTAGTAGCTGGTACAGTGCTGTGTCCTGGATTTAGTATGAGAACAATGTTGATAACACACCGATGTTTTAGTTGTTGCTAAGCAGTGCTTACACTAGTCAAAAGACTTTTCAGTTTCCCATGCTCTACCGTGGCCCCAACTGGCCAAAGGGACATTCTATACCATGGGACGTCATGCTCAGTACATAAACTGGGGAAAGCTGGCCAGGGGCCGCTGCTCAGGGACTGGCTGGGCATCGGTCAGCGGGTGGTGAGCAA